ACACACACACACACACACACACACACACACACACACACACACACACACTCTCTCACACTCACACCTGTCTCACACAAACCCAGCTTTGGCACAGTGATGCTAGAAAATTCTGATTGACAGACTCGTGACAACACTTTCGCACTCGAGGGGTGTCAGCAGCTGTTCAGCTTTGATCCATCCAGCCTTGACTCTCTCTCTCTCTCTCTCTCTCTCTGTCTCTCTCTGTCTCTCTTCCTCTTTCCCCCCCTCACTCACACATGCACTCACCTGACGGCGCTCCAGCAGGCTGGTAAAACACAGCTAACACATGGTGTTCCACGCACTGTACCCCAGAGGGTTGAGGCTTTTTTAGACTTGTGTCCATAACATCTCCCTGTTTTCCAGTGATGTGGATGAAGTCAAATTCTCTTCTTCTGCTGAACCCTCAGTTCAATGACATTCATTTTGTCATTGGAGAAACAAGTCCAGGTTTTAAAGCGGTAGTAGAAAACATACAGACCAAATCTCATTCATATCAAATTCATATAACAGCAAAAAAATGTTGATTATTTATGTTTAAACATTAATGCATCAAATTCAGAAACAAGAAATAGCCAAAGTAGCTCTTATTAAGTTTTTATATACATGAACAGTATGTGTAGACACACTGACTCTTGGCCTTCAAAAGGAAGGTTTAATGGAGACAAATCTGAACAGGCTACATGTAACAGGAATTAGACCATTTCACCGAATGCACCTTGCTGAATACAAAACTGAAGCGTGGTGACACAATAATATGCTGTTTTCTTTTTTGTCATGAGCAAAACAGAATATTTCCTTGGTTGCCAAACATTTTCTGGTGTCTCTGTCTTTGATTGAGTCGTTAAAATGATTTCACAATGTTTGTTGTTTTTCGCAATAATTTCTGGAACAAAGTACTGTGCATCAAAATGATTTACCGTGACTACCTTGATACCTTTCTAAGAATGAACCGTTCAAGGTTTTCTTGCACATTTTACAGCTTTAGTTTTAGGAATTTCTTTAATATCCAGGCAAAATCAGTATCAAATTGGAAATCGATTCAAGACCTTGTGGATCGTAATTAAATTTTAAGTTTTGGGAAATCAGTGTTAGTATCCAGCCCTCAAGAAATAACCAATGTATTGGAACTGTCAGGTTAAGGTATAATAGATGTATTATGCGGTGCGAAAAATTTGGGGTGCACCTAAAGTATGTGCTGGTGCACCCAAATGACAAAGTTAGTCCGCAGCCCTGTAATTTCCCAACAGATTTCCAAGCACAGTGCCATCGATATATTTTAGCTGCATATATGTTTCAGAAGTAGACATGAGACTGAACAAAGGGCTACAACAAAGATAGAACTGATGAATGTCAGTGCCACAAAGTAGCTGATGTAAATACCTTTGCTCATGAACTTGCTGCATTTCAGAGTTCAGTATCTTGTCCCTGCTGTAGCTTCTGTTCCCAATTCTTACCTTTCTTCCTCTCGATTTACCTTTTGTGAGAGATGGAGCTGATCATCACTCTTTCCTCCCCGTGTTTAGGGTCTGCGGGCAGCAGACAATGACCCCACCGCTCCTCCCTACGACTCCCTGCTGGTGTTTGACTATGAGGGCAGCGGCTCCACCGCCGGCTCCGTCAGCTCACTCAACTCCTCCAGCACGGGGGACCAGGACTATGACTACCTCAACGACTGGGGCCCACGTTTCAAGAAGCTGGCCGACATGTACGGCGGAGGGGACGAAGATTAAATCGGCCCGGTCACACAGGCACACGCACACATACACACACGCTCGTCCCGTCAGCTGGCCTGCCATGCTCTGTCCCTCTAACACAAGGGGCTATTACACCCTTATTGAACACACAGTAAAAATGACTTGTTCACACTGACCAACCAACCAATCAAAATTACCCACCACCGAGGACCGGTCCCGTGAGTCAGTTTCTCTTCTCAGCCGCCACCTGCTCTAAGTCTTAGACTGAAACTGAAGCTCAGAATCGCAGGCTTCTCTTAGTTTGTGTTCTCAAACTCTTGTGCTTTCGTTTCAGTTCAGGTTTGATGCTGGATGTCGGTTTTAGTAACTTTTGTCTGGTTTTTGGTTTCCTTTTGGTTTCCGCAGCTTTTTCTGTCCTCACTCCCTTTTGATTCAAGTCGATTCCTAAGGGTTTCCACTTTTCCCTCGCTGTCGGCCCCCGTCTGCCTCTCTGCAGAAGCTTTAGGTTGAGCTTCTTGCTTTGTCTGAAAGGAACAAAAGGAAGAAAAAAAAAGAAGAAGAAGAACAACGCAGATATGAAAGTCCTTCCTGCACGGATGGCTCTGGTTTATTCTTTCTTGAACTTGAATTACTTAGAACAGAAGCACTGTTGTTTAAAAAGTGCCTTCAGTGGTGCGTATTTTAGCAGACTCCCGCTAACTCAGGATTGGTTGCCATTTCTGGGCTTACATGCCCCCATATGACCCCTGACCCTTTAACTCAGACCTTTCCCTCATCATTTCTGTCGTCCAGCAGCGCTGTGGTATCTCTGGGGGGACGTCAGCGCTGGTTTGACTGGCGTACGTAGACGTACTGTACATAGGCCAACAGTGTGTGTGTGAGTTATGGACAAATCATTCACTTTTCAAGTCGGGCATATCTGTGCTCCTGTAGATGTGGTTACAGAAATCATAGAAAATACATAATGGGACTGTGTTAGAGAAGAAATGCATTGCGTGTCTTTGTTCATCGTGGCTTTCAATAGCAGCTGTGTTTGTTTTGAGCTCTCGTATTTGCACATAAATCTTGATGAGGCTTGTTACTAAATTTCGACAAGTCAAGTGTGTTACCTCTGTGATGTGACTGTATGTGAAGTACATATGAGGGTTATTTGAGGAGGGTTTGCCTCTCAGTTCATTAGGGTTTGCATGTTTGTGCCGCAACACCCAAAGGTTACGAACACGGCGCCAGTTATCGTGTGGTTAATGTTCTAAAAGAAAACTCCATAAACTGTACAAACACGAGGGGAAGAGAAAAGAGGAGATGACTTCAAATAGCTCTGATAACATTTCATAGAGAGTCGTGAGCTTGTCTGAGCCACATTCTGAGCCCCCTTCTCTCTCTCTCTGTCTCCCTCCCTTCGTTTCTTTCTTCTTTTGTTGATTCACTGTTGTTTCTCCACAAACTTTTAATATACAAACTTTGGTGCTGGTCCCTGTCACAGAAACGAGGGGAACTGAGCCTCAGCCAGGGATTTAGCGCCTTCGCAATCTGTCTCTCTTCAGGCAGCGTTTCATTCATCTGAAATTTTCTCCGAAATTTTTGGCATGCGAGTTCAAGAGGTTTTGAAAAGAAGTTAGCGGAAGGGAAAGTCTGTTATGAAGCGCTGCACTTTATCAAAGCAGACGGGCAAAACTATAGCTTCGGTAATTGCGCTTTAAAAGACAGACTTTTGGAAAGACAGTTGTGTTTTGTGACTTAATGGGAAAAAAAGCAGCACTACCCATGGGCTTTTGTGATCATATTTCAGACTCCCAGAACTGAGTCTACATGGAGAACTGAGTGGGGGAGCTTTAGTCTTTGTATTAAATTATTTAAATATGCAAAACATTTCACAGAGGGACCAGGGAGATTCTGGTGGGTGATAGAAAGATTTAATCATTCCTTATCTTCTGAGTACCCATTGAAATGCTCCTCGGTGGTTTCATCTTGATGTGGATTGACCAGATCTTCTATTAATTAAGAATATGATGAATACTTGCTCTAGCTGCAGTGTTCTTCAGATGACATGAAGGGAAGGAGTCTCCGCTGCTTTTCACCTGCTCCTCACCTGCTTCAAAAGCTTAATTTAAACAATCTTTAGGCGTTTTTCCATCATCGCCACACAAACGGCAGAGTGTGCGAGAGGGTGATGACGGTTTTAAGCGCAGAGAAAAGAAGTGATGAGAGATAAGTGGAAAATGGTACCTGTAAATGTAAATATTTATCATGCCATTAAAAAGAGAGGAGGAGGAGAGTGAGTCGACTATAAACAAGGGAAGGGAGGTCAAGGTTTGATTAATAACGTTAACAGGGTTGGAATCTCTTGATGTAGATTCGTAGATAAATGGGTTTAAATTGCACCTCGTCAGTGAAGAAATGGACAGTGGTGGTTTTTCCGAGCTGAGAGCAGGAGACTCACTGCTTGATAAGCTCTACTCTATCAGCAAACACAAAATAAACACAGCTGTTACTTTCTACTCTTTGTGATTTTTTCTGACGTATAAATGTTGTATATACAGAACCTTTTTTTTTTTTTCTTATACATTTGGTGGACCGATTTGTCTGTGTCCTTGTGGTCGTTCCATTTTCTTTCACTCACTTGCTTTTTATTTCCAATGAAAACCGGGGCGAGGAATATGTCACCACAAAAAGCCATGTGCATTTAAAGAGAATCGGTGCGATTCTCAAACGAGCTTACAGCCATACCCCCGCGTCGCTGTTCAAGTTCCTCGTGGTGAAACAGTTCCGTCTCAAACCGACGTGTACAGTCTCTACTCGCACACACTCACTCCTCTAGGCCTTATTGTATATATGTGAGTGTTCTATATTATATAAGCCCTTTCAGCATTGTTCTAATTCAGCCGCAGAGCTCCCACTTTACTGAAGGCCATGCAGCATTCACAGGATAAAGACGTGCTTCACCCTAAAGCTCCCTTATCAGACCGGATTCAGGGCCAAACACATCAGGAGGCCCAACCCCTAAACACACACACACACACTTTACACACACACACACACTTTACACAAGGTAACTGACCTTTATCACTGTGTCATCATACATGACACAAACGCCATTACGACTGAATGTTATCGCAGACTCGCAGTGACACGTGGCAGCAAATCATCGGTGGAGTCGGTCAAACTTGCCCCCCATTTAAATGCAATTTGTGAAACGGAGGAAGATTGATCTTCACTCGTTACATTCTTGCTCCACTTGTCTTACTGACGTTCCCTCGCTAAACTGAGGGGGAGAATTGGCGAACGAAGGAAGAGCTATTGCACCGCTGTAGTCCGTCCATGTTTTCTGCAGCAGCTCCTCTAACTGGTGATAATTAAAGGACAGGTGGTCTCACCCTGGACACACTGCCTGACCATGGACACGCACATGACGGGAGGCTCCAGCGAACGCCAGACTTTTGTCCTGCCCTTGGAAAGAATCACAAAGAGCAGGCGGCAGTGTTTCGTACGAGTTCTCCCGATACTCCTCAAGTGGAAGTGTACATAATGTAGTATTTGCTTGAAGCTAAACAGACTGAGTTAGGCAAACTGTAACTGTACAATTGGAGCTTTTTGCATGTGTCTTTTTTATAATGGACAGATGAGTTCTATTACAGTAATCATACAACATTTTAAAATGTGTTGCAGCCCGCATGACCGAGGCTGCCGTTCGGAAAAGGGGATTCTGGTCGACCATACTCGCATAGTTTAAAATGGAGGAGAAAAAAAAAAAGCTGAAAAAAGAATTGCACAGTTATTGAGTCAAAAGACTTCTTTTGTAAATTGTCAACAGCACAAATATTTTGTATTGTTGTTTGTACCATTTTGTAAGAAAACAATGAAAAAAAATACGAAAAAAAAATGCAGAAAGAGTCTGTTGTTTCAAGCGTGTGTTTCTAGTGCCACTGCAATCTTGGTTTCCAAATACCGTACAGTACATGCGCAGCCTTGCAGATGAACCTTGTAAAATAGATGCTGAGCTGGAGGCTCCCTGTCAGCACCATGTGTTATAAATAAAAGTTCCCCTCCTTATAAGAACACTGGCTCCTGTCTCTTCTTTGTCAAGTTAGGCAACTTTACACTGTGTTAAATTTCATTTTTGTTCAACATTTTTAAATTGAAATAACCGCACATTAATTCAAGTTATCATCCATTAAGACGGTTTAAAAAATTACTTAGAATTTAAATACAGTATTACTTTTATCACTCAGAAATCCTGAAACATTCTGTGTGAGTGTCTCTCCTAAAACATACAGTGTAAAATTTAGAATCCTACACGTGTAAGTGAACAAATACAGTGCATGTTCACTGCATTGTGCTGTGAGAACACATCAGCACAGAACCAGACTCTTCTCAGGACAAAAGGGATGAACAGACCGGATGAATTTCCAGTGAATGAGATCAGACATGCTGCCATTTCTAGTTTGCATTCTCACAGTAAATAACATAACAAAGCACTGTGACAGTCAGAATATGTATATGCACTAAAATAGAGGCTCACGGGCTGGCATCAACACAAACGCCTTAGACACATGCATGTATCTGACGTGCACACACTGAGGAAAAAGTTTTCCAAGAAACCTTCGAACGCTGAGAGTTTCATGATGAGTCTGTTTAATATGTGGTTTATTGTGTCTGTTTCAAATAAGTTTTACTGTCAGTCCTGAACAAACATAAACTAAAGTGATCAACACAATTAAGGCTGCTGGTTTGTCAACTGTTTCTAACGGGGTCGTGTCTCAAAGTGGGATAATGAAGTGATTCTGACCTGAGGCAGATGAAATGCAGTGACTCAGTGTAAAAATAGAAAGGGGAGTATTTCATTTCCTTTTTTCCTTCTCTTTTATTCAATTTTAATGTTTTCTATTTTTCACTTTTATGCTGCAAATGTCACCAACGAAATCCAAAACAGACGTGATGCTACAGCTTATCTGTTTTACAGCTACACGGCTGGATCTGTGCAGACCAGCATGTTTTTTTTCATGCTTGAAATTTGTTTGTTTGTAAAACTTATTATTATTATTATTCAATTATGAATGAACTGTACTTCCAAACATTTAATTATCAATAATTTATAGTTTTCAAATGATTGCGGTGCCCATTGTAAACCCGCCCGTTGTTTGCCAGGTTGTTTGGTCTGTGGTGACGCTGGTTGCAGCTCTTTCTAAACCTCACCTGCAGTAATTGAGCCAGGAAAATAAAGACAAGTCCCAGGACTCTGCAAAAGCCTGAAACCACCACTGCTGCACAAAGAGCTTTTCACCTGTTTATTCAAAGTTTATGGAAGCTCACTGCTGCTACAGAAAAATTCAACACTGCACTTTCTCGCTCCTTTAACAATACACGTACTGAGTGTGAAGCCGATAAGATGAACGGTTCTTTAGAGTTGCGAGCCACGAACCAACAATTTCTGCAATAAGTGGATGAGTAATTAATTAAGTGACAGTGTGAAAACAACGTGGTGATGTGAGAGCCGACAGAGAATTATCACCTGAATCTGAATCTTTGGCTTCACTCTCTAGCGAGCCAAGCTAAAGAGGCAGAAACCAAATGGCACCAAGTGGCACAAAAATATCAGCAATATTGGCAATGAAATAAAAATGGAATGAGCTAGAATGGCTCAGTGAAGCGCATAAATCTGCCAAGGCCCAACAGTCCCCTCAAATTCAATCAAGCTGCACCAAATTGTACTCAGTCATAGATATCAGTCCCTGAAATATGCCTGATATTTTTCATCGAGGTCTATAAATTATTCCGAGGGATAACAGTGAAAGTCAAAGAGTACAAAAAAATATATAAATAATCCTGAATCTGCCCATTTGTCCTGATCCGTTTAGTAATTTAGTGGGTTCTGTTTCGATCCAAAGTTTGTCGAAATCCTTTTCTGCGTAATCCTGCTGACAAACAAACCAACCAACGGACAGCGGTGAAAACGTAACCTTGTTGGTGGAGGTTATTAAGGCAACACATTGATGAAGCATTGCAGGACACAGAGTCACGTGCTCAGATGTCAGCTACCGGTTTATCGGTGATCGTCAGCCACCCACCAATCACAGCCCATTCTCTCACCAAAGCGGCCCCTTTAAATACGACCTCATCCTCACAGATCCCTGCTCAGCTACACTGCCACCCACGCTTGCTGCCGGCTACTTGCCTCCACCACCCCGGCCTCAACCTTTTAGCACTGAGTCCAAACATGGTCTGTAAACGATATTCATCTTAAACAAACCTACATTGCCTGCTACTCCCAACAGGGGGTTCTGCACATGTTCCCTGTTTTATCTCAGCACGCTCCTGGCTAATCCAGGGAACATCCAAAGAATGGAGCCTTCAGCACCAATCATAACCGTATCCCCATTTGCAACAAACGGGCAAATCATGATAAAGTGTTCCCGACTGAATTCACTGTTTATGGGCAGAAAGCACTTGCATGTTCCTTTGACAACTGTTGCAGCCACTTCACCTGCAACTGAATCATCACAATTATTAACAGTTTGTCAAACTTAAAACGTCTGGCTGACATTTCAAACGTTTTAAGTGGATAGTTCCCCCAAAAATGTTAAGAAAATCACTCATTATCTACCACTATGCTGATGGAGGGGTGGGTGAAGTGTGAAGAGTCCGTAAAGCACTTTTGGAGTCTCAGGGGTAAACAGAGTTGCAGCCAAGTAGTAGAAGTAAATGGTGACTTCAAACGTAGCCTCCACACTGGTCCTGTGGTGTCATCCAAGTTTCTGTAAGCCCCGGCACGTATGGAGGAAGAATTGGTCACCATCTACTTCAATTGTATTGGATTTGGCTGCCACACTGTTTACCCCTGAAACTCCCAACGTGTTTTGTGGACTAAAACACTTTTTGGGTGAGCTATCCCTTTAATTCAGTGACGGCGATAATAACAAGAGTGGAACCCGGAATGTAGCGAATAAATCTGCGGTCAAAGCAGCGTGAGGATGGGGATGAGCTGACCCTTACTTGTTGTATCTTAACACAGCGGGTCAATGAACCGACAGGAGACTGCAGCTCCTCCTCATTGATTGACCTGTCAGAGCATGTCGATGCCGTGCAGACAGAATAAGCCCCGCTGTTGCACACCGCTCACACAAGCACAGATGAATGCACAAATCTCTCTCCTCAAACTACAAGAAAACTGAGGCTAAACTGAAACCTGCTCCCGCCCTCCCGCCAGCCACACTGTGGGGTTGACAGTACAAGTCAAAATGCATTAATTCAACTAACAGTCACATGGTTATCAGAACTGCCCCATGCTGGATTTTGACCAAGTTGATTTATACATGTAGGTGGTTTACAGCTGAGCTAATTTTACCAGCTTTAAGAGCTATGTTATACATCTCAACGACTGAAAAATACCCTAAAATTCCATGTGTCCTTGAAAATCTATTCCTGTACATTTCAACTAATTAGCAATACATCCAGAATGATTTAATGAGGAAATGTGATTTTATGTATTTGGTTAGTTATCCATCCATCCAATGTCTATACCACTAAGGGCCCGGTCACACACGCAAATATTTCAGAGGCGAGTGTGAAACCTTTAATGGGTCGCAGGGGGGCTGGAGCCATCCCAGGTGACACGGGGCGAGAGGCAGTGTACACCCAGGACAGGGCCCGTCACAGGGCGCAGATACAGACACAAACATTTATACTCACATTAGCTTCGATTTAGAGTCTCCAATTAAGCCACAGTAATATGCAAATATGAGGAAAACATGCAAACTCCACACAGAAAGGTCTGAAAATCGTGATATGAACCAATAACCTTGCTGTGAGGCGACAGTTTGAACCACTGCACCACCATGACGATTTGTCAAGTTGTTACTAAAAATGTCAGTGAAAATGTTCACTGACAGGGATAGTTCTGTGTTTTCTCCCTTTGTGCACTTAACCAGAGCCTCTCATGATGTTATTGTCATTGACATCAGCGGTAACTGCATTTTGTAAAAACGTATTACACATCTGCCAAATAAATGAGTCAGCATTAACTCATTAAAAACACATATTAATCTTTGAATTTTACAGATGTTCAAAATTCAAAATTATTTTTGAAAAACATGCAGCAAAAAGTTTTCTGAACTTATTGACGTTCAGACCAAAAGCTCGAAAAATAAATCCCCTCAAACTTCTCAACCTCATCCATTTCACATTCCTTGATATTTATTTTCTTTCTGTCTATAAAGTGATTTTATCCCAGTGAACGACACAATCACTACTGTTATTTGAAATGTTCAGATTGGTCAGAAACTATAAATGCTTTGATTGAAAGCCAAACATTCCATTATCAAAATAGTACGATAAAAATGAAGTCTGGGTTATTTCAGTGTCCCACTGTAATCACCATGATTTATGAAACACAACACGTTCCGCTAACGACATCATTAATTAAACTACTTAATGCCTTAATCTCTCTGTCAACATACTTATCATCATAAAACACATGAGTGCTACTTATATAAACTACATATATTCAAGCTGTGGCTCCGAACCTCGTTACTTGTGACCAAATAATGCCTACAAGTGAAATCTGTCACATCCAAGTAGATTCAATTAACTAATCTCAAGTAAATGAACAGTCAGAATTAGTTTAGGTTGCATAAATGAATTTAGTATAAATATTTGTATATTTATATGTATTATTATTATTATTATTTTTATTAATAGCCATCTAACAATCCTTAATTACAGGGTGCTATAATATCTGCAGTAGAGTCAGATTCCCATTATGGGATCAATAAAGGATTATCTTATCTTATCTGCAGCATTCAAAAATTCAGCCGTCATTCAAAATCTTACTAAAACTACTACAGTATTATCATCAGAGTATCAAAAGTAATCGTACACTCTTTGCAGATAAAAAACTATATGAGTGTGAGTATTTATATGCACATATTTCTTGATTGTTATCATTCATACAATAATGTTAAAGCAGTGTTTTACTGTTGCAACTCAAATTAAGTTTAATCGCTTCATAGCCAGTTGGTTTGTTCCAGAATTCATATTTTTAT